CGGGTCACCCACCCAGCTGTGATTATGGTATTGTTCGATCCCATTCGCTCCGTCCGCCAGCTTGATTATGGCCATATGCAATACCTATGTATTATATGTGGCATGTGTCCTGTGGCACAAAGTTCGCCGTCGCCATTAGCAAGCTGGCGGGCGTACAGAATGGAATAGCCCAAACTCCTAACCACACGACAGCTCGACCGTCGATTTCTACGATGGCCACCACGAGCCTCAGCAAGTTGAAGCAACGCGATGACTTCCGCTGGATTATAAGGAAAGTAGACTCGAAAAAAATCTACCCCACTCTCTCACCACTCCCACACCGGACCCGATGTCAAGACAAAATTCAAGATGGGGGAGGGGGGAGGGGGGGCTCAGGCGGCTGACGCGTCCAACATTCAACATGCGTACCAACAGCACGCCTCGCTACATATGCTCCCGACTGGGAGCGCCATAAAGGCCACATTAAGAAGGAGCCATTGAGCCTGACTCTCAGCCCGCAGTTAGCTACTCCACACAACAAAGCACACTGGGCCGACTGCGGTGCCCAAGTTATAAAGTCAGTTGGAAACCCTCCAAGCCACGGCTTTTAGTGCACCGCGATAGCTCCAAGTGCACCAGATGGTCTGCAAAGAGGAAGGAAATGCGCTGGGCGTCGACCTCACTCTCACTCTCACCGCCAGCAACAGGCCACCGCCTAGCTGATCGGTCGTCTGAGGTGGAATGGACGCAGTGTTGAAAAGGGTGCTGTAAGGGTGACACGCTTATACGAGAACCTATGCGCGTGGAAGATGAATAGAAGCTGGAAGTCCTTGACCACTACTGCTTGAGGAGTATCCTTCGAGTGAAGTACACCGACTCCGTCTCAAAGGAGACAGTCCGCACTCGCTGCGACAACATTGCAAGTATATCCCAGGCAGTCCAAGAAAGACGACTGAGGTGGTTTGGATACGTTCGAGCTCAATGTTACTGCCCTTGGCCCGAAACCATTTCCTAGTTGGAAACGTCGAACTGGGTGTCAGCTTTAGACCTGGCTCGACTCAGTCTGTCAGAACATGGAAGTGGTTCTTGGACCTTCGATATTCGGTCTCCGGCGCTAACTAAGAGACTGGCTCGAACTGTCCACGTCTGCTGCCACGGACCATCGCGCGTGGAGAAGCACTGCACGGGATATCGTCGGGGCCGACTAGATCAGTCATGATCGCAGTCCCAACAAGCCCCAGCAAGGTTTCCGGCGCTGGAGAAGAGACTGGGTAGAGCTCTCCAGATCCGCTGCCGCCAACCCTCACGCATAGAGAGGTACCGTCCGTGACATCATCGAGGCCGGCTAGATTAGGCATTATCACAGCCGTAACAAGTACAAGAGGGCCTATGATGTGCCGATGATCGGTAACAATTGTGAAACAACTTTCTGCGTTTGGCCTGTTGCACCCCTGACAAAATAGACAATATTTACACAGATATTCAAGATGGTACTCTTCCCGAAAAAAAAACACCAGGGTGATGAGGCAGCTAGCTCAGGACGTTGACTTGACGGAGGATGACAAACAAGTGGGATGAAGGGAACTCTTGAGGCGTCCGTGGTTCACTCCATTTGGGTGGTTTGCGACAGACGGGACAATACATAAACAAATTGCAGCGTTTCTTGATCCACGGCCTTTGCAGGTTCTAGTAGGGGTACTTTGATGACCTTATCCTCCTATACACCCATAAAACGATATCAACGGGGTACCGGTATCGCGACATGGCAAACGCCATCCCATCGTCGTCGGACATATTTGCGGGATCTTAAACAACTGTGCCTGGGGGTTGGACACACGCATAACAGTTAGTTCCGGTCCAATAGCACCGCAAAAACATCAACCGGCGTGCTACTGCTTAACCCGGCCTTGGACTGCTGAAGAGTCATTGTTGTTCACGCACTCCAACCAGATTTAACGAGAATG